GCTGGGAAGACAAATAAAAGGAATTAGATTATTTATGGAGTGTGGGATTGAAAGAAAGGTCGGGTGAGGTGCCTGGGAAGAGGCTGTGAGACTTGGTGCAGAGAAGAGATGGCTGGAATCGCCCACGCCATGTAGCACGAAAGCTTGCAATGAACAACTGATTTAATTCCCCTATCCCTACACGACAAAAACTGGCTGAGACAGAGCTGTCTTTCTGTTATCTTGTCTCCAATTACTTTGCCATAGCCAGGGCACTTCAGTGCCCCAGTCTGGGTCTGGTGGCAAATAAATAAATCTGATGGACTAGCCCTGTGAGCATTAATTCTCTGGGAGTAGCAGCAGAGTGGCATTGCCCTTTGTACATGCAAGGGCCAGGAAAAATATACTGTAGCAGTTTTCTTCCTGATGTTTAGCCTCAGCTCCTCCCTGCAGGTCATTAAGCCCCAGGAAATACCCTGTTACTCTGTCATTATTGCTTAATTATTTTCAGCTCTGTAATCTAATTTGCAGTTTGACTCTGTGTTGATTCTAGCTGGCGTATCATAACCTTTACAGTACAGGAAGTGCAAGGCAGAGCTGGCTGTACTGGTGTTTAAATCTTTTGGTGAAAAGGGCCTTTTTCTAAGCCTACAGCTTCAGGAAATAACTCATTTTCCAGAGAGTCTGAAACCTTTAACATTATTGAGATTTCACTTTCTCCTACTTTCTTTTTATGATATTTTATAGAGTTTACAGTGCAAAACTGAGTAATAAAGATTATTTTATTGAACATGTGCCACTACTCCTTAGCTTTAAAGGAGGATGCTAGAAAAATATGTCACACAGAGGTGCCGTTAACATATTCCTTTTATTTTAATTAAATATAACAGATACTTCAGGTGTTCTGAAAACAAGGACATTGTAAACTGATAGCTACGCAGGGAAGCTCTCTGAATATAGAAATTACAAATGAGATAATTCAAGTAATTTAAAGGCTGATGTTTTATTAAATAGATGCAGTCTAAAGCAGATAGTTTTATTTCAACCAGAAATAACTGAGTTCATGTAATATCTCCCACCTCCTTGATTTCTTTAGAAATCTCCAAGACCTAACAGGAAATTGGAGCTGCAGGGAGCCATCAGCTTTGAGATTCATCTCATCAAGCCTCCCATTCTTACGTCTGGAATTGTTTTGATAAGAAAATGACAAAATGCAGCTATAATATGTACAGTCTGATATATGGGGTGCTTTTGAGCTCGAAAGTTCTCATAGATGCCTACAGGTCATGCGAGCCTTCGGGAAAGCATTTAATCTGAAATGAAGCAAAAGGTGGAAGAATGGGAAGGAGTCTCTGAAGTCTCTAGGAAAAGCCATCAAAAATGGCACAGAAGGAAATCATCTAGACTAGCAGATGAGAACAGGGGAAGCTTATGTAAATTAGTGATCAGGAGTCCAGGAACTATGTTTTGGGTAAATATGTTAATGAAGTATTGCAAACAAGCTTGTATTCTGTTTTTCCGGTAGTCTTTTTGTTTCCAGCCCTTGTATGCATACTTCTGAACCTTGGCTTTAATCCAGGCTAAATGAGCCTTACCATTTTTTTGATGCAGGTCTGTTATGTGTTAAGATGCACTGGAGTGAAAGAAGGGGCCCTGATCCTGCATCCTGAGGAGCTCAGGGTATTGGAGGTGCAGGGGAAGGATGGGAACATCTGTACTCTCTGAAGTGAGGGACCACAGGTCCACAAAGATGCTTTGAATTTATGCTAGATGGTTTCTTTTGAGAAATTGCCCATAGCTGATGCAGAAAATACTCTTTGTCTGCAGTATACAAGGGAATGTAGGCAATTTATCAGGGTGAGACTCCCTGTGTAGTTCCTACACTCTGTACGAAAACCAGGGTCCAGCCTTGCTGTCAGAGTCTGGCAAAGAGACTTCCATGAAATGAAGGTGGTATGCTCTTGTTTGTTGGACTCAGCTGTGTGGGGTGACTGTAAAATACTGCACGCTGTTCAAATTTCCTTATATTAGGAATGTGGATTGTGAAAATGTACAGAAGAGTTATGAGAACGTACAGATGAGTTATTTCTACTCCTCACTTCTCTGTCATATAGCTGAGCCTGCAAGCTCCAGCATCTCAGCTGCCAGGAGAACTGTTGTTATCACCACAGCAGGGCATTTCAGAAGCTGGTGTTAATACCCTGAAGTGACTGGTGCTCACTAAAAATTGCAGTGAAAAAATACAATACTCTTGAATTACCTCAAATTTGTTCAAATACATGTGTGTAGAGGGGAAGGAAATTCGGGATTGGGATTGACATTTAGCCTCCCATATTCATATACAGAAAAATTATTTTTGTGGTGTCCAGATCACCCCCTCTCCAATCCACAGCCCTGTGTCACCAATGCAAGTGAGCTTCCAGCAATATGAAATAGTCACAGCATTATAGTTGCACAGCTTTTCTTCTCAAAAAGCCTTGTGGCAGCCAGGCCTGCCCTTTGAATTGAACAAGTTATTCTGGTAACAGAGCTAAATGAATTAATACAGTGTAAATGGGGCTGGAATATTCCAGGGTGTGTAAATAAAAGTACATTGCTATTTAGAAAAGTTGCATTATTCCAAGCGCTCTCTTCATAGGGAAAAACATTCTTCCAACAAACATCTTGAATATTGAACTTAGCTTGGCTGACTCCAAAAATTATACTAAGTTTTATGGTCTCAGCCTGCATGCATTTTTAGACTTAGAATTTCTGACTGATGTCAGTAGAAGACCTTTGATCCATTAGTAATGCAGGATCAGATCCTCTCATAGGTAAAAGACATAACAAAGGCTAAGGAAATGGCAACTTCTCCTTTCTTCATCATGCCACATGGTGACTTTTTTCTGTGATCAGATACAAGTGCAATGATTGAGAAAGAAAGGTCTTAACACTTATAAGAAAGGCTGAAAATAGAAGATACTCTAATGACAGCTAGAAGAAGGGAATAATGCTGATATAATTGGAGTAGACAAAGGATGTTCACTTTGTGACACATTTTGAGAAGCATCCAGGAGCATTTGTTATGCCAAAGCAGGTTCATGGTTCAGTGAAAATGCCATCTTCTGTTGGAGAAGTAAGCAGAAGAGGCAGCGCTCCCTGAGCAGACGGGGAACAAAAATAGTTCAGGGTTCCAAGTAGATAATTGTGTACAAGTATAGACATATTATTGTGATAATAATGATATGCTAAGTGTGCATACTACTTTCCTTTAGTGGCTGATCCACTGAGGTATCATTAAATACTATTGCTATTTTTCAATATAGGGATCTTTTAAAATCAATTGAAGACAGCAATGTTAGGAGGACCTAACTCCTCCTTGTGTAGTTGGTACTTAGGAACTAGAGTATACTTGTGTGTTCATTTCTGTATTTAAAATATATGATGAGAAAGCATGGTGAAATCTGTTTCTTCCACAAGCAATGTTTGATGACATGGGAATAATTCAGATTTATTTACTCATATGCTGACAGATCTGCCATAGCAATCTCATTGTAACTCAGTGCTATAGCAATTGGAATCTTTGGCTTAAAGGAAAGGAGTTTAAGGAGTTTAGTGAATTTGTTAAGAACTATTTTTTAGGAAACTTCTAACTTCCTCACTTAAACAATAACAATTGCTAAGAAGTGTTGAGGTATAGGAAGCAAATTACAACACAGACCAACAGCAGAAGCCAGAAGTTTAGGATTAAACCATTTTGTCTGACCTGAGGAAGAAATTTCATATATCTTATCTCACGGTGCTCAAAAGTGTGTATGTATGGAGATATCTATATCTCTCTGTACATACATACATATATTTATAGTAGTATATGTACCATCTAAGTAGTCTAATATCCATGTATATTTACATACATGTATATTTGTTCAAAGATGAATTATGCTCCTTAAATTGATTAAATTGAAACCTTTGGTGAAAAAAAATGTGTTAGTCCTTGCTGTTATAAGGAACTGAACCTGCTTGGGGTGTACGGTTTGAGGAATGGAAAGGGTGGGTCATCTAGAGAGGGAAAATCTGCTGAGATATCCTCAGAGAAATAGAAACATCTCACCATGTGCCACCAGGGCTGCACTGAGTTTGCATCACTGAAAAAATTACTGAATAGTTCAAGACTAAAAGCAGGACCTGCCTGCCTGCAAGGTTAGTGTGGGCAGAAGTGAGAGCGCTCTGTGAACACTTCTTGTGTTCTACTTGGCATGTGAGATTCTTACCTAAAAGTTTAGTTATTCTTTTATATATATATATGCATATTTTAGTAATACCTTGATTTCTGAGCATTTTTAGCTTTCAGGAGAGCTGATTAGATCCTATATCTTAATTAAGGTAAGTACTTTCATGCTATTATCTAGCTTAGACAATATAGTGTTCTTTGATACAAGCCCAATAGTTTTCATTAAATGAAGAAAAGCTCCTAGACATGCAGCCAATGTTTTCTCAAATGCCCCAGAAAGAGGAGAACCTACTATATCCACGCACAGACTCCCATCTGATTTGAATTTTAACTATATGTTCCTTATTCCTAATAGGAATTACTTAGGCTTCAGACTCCCGCCTTTGTTTTTGTTTTTGTTTTTTTTTAATTATGATTTTCTTTGCTAAATCAATGAGCTCCTTCCTTACAGGTAAATTCTTCAGAGTAAAGGGTCTTTAACTGAAATCAAATCAGCTCCTGAGCTTTAAGATAAGAAGAAAAGATGACTTTAAGTCCCTCATTCTAAGACATCTTCTCTTTCCTTCAAATAATGTTTGGATTCTGACTTTAAAGCATTAGACTTGAATGTAGCATCCAGGAATATATCTCATTGGTCTTATTCACCAAGGTAAGTTCATTGGCCATACTCCTGCTGAATGACCTCTCTTGGGTGCATACAAAAATTATGTTAGTCAGTATTTCCAAGGAGATCAGACTGAATTGCTCTTCTCTATTATCTACTGTCATCCTTAACAGAGACACAACCACGGTATGTCATCTCTAAGGGCTGTGTGTGATTTTTATTTCTTGTTCCTCTCTCTCAAGAAATGAATGAATTGCTGTAAAAAAAAGTAGTTTAAGGATTATTTTAACTACATGTATAGATTTATCATAAAAAATAATATTGTGGTAGGTCACCTGTTGCCGAGACCTTTGGTATGTTACTGTTGTCAGACAGAAACATGCTTTGCCACAAAACGATTCAAAATATAATTTGAATTATTGTGGCACAGGTGAGGTAATCAGCTGTGGAGCGAACGCATTGTGTGGCGAAGCATGGAATGGCCTCGGCTGGCTGCGGGGGGCCCTGTCAGGCAGCAGATCCAGGCGCCATTGTCCTCCGCATGGCGGCAGCGTTGTGACGTCACAGAGGCACATCAGAAGGGCGCAGTGCGGCAGTTTGCATGGGCAGCTCACTCAGGTCAGGTAAGCAGGGCTGGTGAGGAGGGTGGAGTATCTCTGTCCACTCGGGAGGCCGGCTCAGCTATCGGCTGCCTCCCAGACAATGAATGCAGCCATGGTCTCCACTAGGCAGAAAGCTCTGGCAAGGAAGATGAGTGCCTGCCTGAACACATGGCAGTTAAGGTGTCTGGCTGCAGTGAGTGCCTGAGCCTGTTGCTGTTGGTGAAGAGCGGCAGGGATTCCACCTGTGTGAGGAATGAGCATGTGGATGATCTGCTCAGTGTGGCAGTGAAGCTCGAGGAGGAGGTGGAGAGATTAAGGGGTATCAGAGAGTGTGAGCAGCAGATAGATTTGTGGAGTAACTCTCCAATGAACTTGCAAGAAGGACACCAGCGTGATACCCCCCAAATGGTGGTGGAACCCCTCCCCTGGCAGCGTCGAGCAGAGGGAGGCGGTTTGAAGAGGAGGAGTGGAAAAAGATCCCAGCTTGGCATCACAGGCAGCCTCCATCCTGACTCAAAGGGAAAAATGGATCCTAGCCCAGGAGGCAGGGATCATTGAGAGGGCTTTAAACTAGATGTGAAGGGGAAGGGGATAAAACCAGGCTCACTAGAGGTGAGCCTAGCAGAACGATGATGGATTTGGGAGTGAAGCAAGGGGTGCAGCTGAAGTGCATCTACACCAATGGATACAGCATGGGCAACAAACAGGAGGAGGTGGAAGCCATTGTGTGGCAGGCGAACTGTGACATAGTTGCCATTATGGAAACATGGTGGGATTGCTCCCACAACAATATTCCAGTAGATGGCTGTAAGCTTTTCAGAAGGGACTAGCAAGGAAGAAGTGGTGGCGTCACAGCTTTCTGTGTTAGAGTGCTTTGATGTTGTAGAGCTTGGGGATGGGAATGATAAGATAGAGTCTCTATGAGTAAGGATGTAGAGGAGGGACAACAAGGCAGACATCCTGGTGGGGGTCTGTTATAGACCCCCTAACAAGGATGAAGAGACAGACAGATGAGGGTGCTGGGAGAGCTGGCAGAGGTGGAGCACTCAGTACAAAAAAGACAGGGAGCTGTTGGAGAGGGTCCAGAGGAGGGCCACGAAGATGATCAGGGGACTGGAGCACCTCACCTGTGAAGACAGGCTGAGGGAGCTGGGCTTGTTCAGCCTGGAGAAAAGAAGACTGCGGGGTGACCTCTTGGCAGCATTTCAGTACCTAAAGGGAGCTACAGAGGGGAGGGGAATCAACTCTTTGAAAGGGTTGATAACTGCAGGACGAGGGGAAACATTTTTAAGTTGAGGGAAGGGAGATTTAGGTTGGACGTCAGGGGGAAGTTCTTTACAGAGAGAGTGGTGAGGTGCTGGAACAGGCTGCCCAGAGAGGCTGTGGATGCTCCATCCCTGGAGGTGTTCAAGACCAGGTTGGATGGGGCCCTGGGCAGCCTGGTCTAGCATTAAATGAGGAGGTTGGTGGCCCTGCATGTGGCAGGGGGGTTGGAGATTCATGATCCTTGAGGTCCCTTCCAACCCTGGCCATTCTGTGATTCTGTGATTCCAGCTCAACTGGAGAGGTCCTAGAGGATTAAAGGCTTGCCAATGTGACTCCTATTTGCAGAGGATCCTATTGCAAAGAGGATCCTGGAAACTGCAGGCCTGTCAGCTTGACATCAATGCCAGGAAAGGTTATGGAGCAGATCATATTTAGGGAGATCACGTGGCATGTGCAGGACAACTATGGGATCAGGACTAGCCAGCATGGATTCATGAAAGGCAGATGCCACTTGTCCAACCTGATCTCCTTCTATGATCAAGTGTCCTGCCTGGTAGATGAGGCTGTTGACATAATCTACCTAGACTTCAGCAAAGCCTTCAACACTGTCTTCCACTGTCTCCTCCTGGAGAAGTTGGTAGCCCGTGGCTTGTACAGACACACTTTTTGTTGGGTAAAGAACTGGCTGGCTGGCCAGGTCCAGAGAGTGGTGGTGAATGGAGTCACATCCACCTGGTGGCCGGTCATAAGTGGTGTTCCCCAGAGGTTGATACTGGGGCCTGTCCTGTTCAGTATCTTTATTGATGACCTGGATGGGGGCATTAAGCGCACCCTCAGTAAGTTTGCAGATGACACCAACTTGAGAGGAAGTGTCAATCTGCCTGGGGGGTAGAAAGGTTCTCCAGAGGGATCTGGACAGGCTGGGTAGCCGGGCTGAAGCCAATGGGATGAAGTTCAACAAGACAAAGTGCTGGATATGATTCTATGATTCTAATCCTGCACTTGAGCCACAATAACCCCAGACTACAGGCTTAGGGCAGAGTGGCTGGAAGACTGTGTAAAGGAAACAGACCTGGGGGTATTGGTTGATGCTTGGCTGAACATGAACCAGCAGTGTGCTGACATGGTCAAGGAGGCCAATGGCATCCTGGTTTGTATCAGAAATAGTGCTGCCAGCAGGAGCAGGGAAGTGATCATCCCTCTGTATTCAGCCCCGGTGAGGCTGCAATTCAAGTACTGTGTTCAGTTTGGGGTCCCTCACTACAAGAAAGACACTGAGGCCCTGGAGCATGTCCGGAGAACTGCAACAAAGCTGAGAAGGGGGCTGGAGTGCAAGTTTTACGAGGAGTGGCTGAGAGAGCTGGGACTGTTCAGTCTGAAGGAGGCTCAAGTGATCTTATCACTCTCTATAACTGCCTGAAGGGAGGTTATGATGAGGTGAGAGTCAGCCTCTTCTCTCAGGTAACTAGCGATAGGACTAGAGGGAATGTCCTCAGGTTGTGCCAGGGGAGGTTCAGGTTAGATGTTAGGAAATACTACTTCTCTAAAAGAGTGGTCATGAACTGGAATGGGCTGCCCAGGGAGGTGGTGAAGTCACCATCCCTGAAGGTGTTCAAGAAACCTTTAGATGTTGTACTGAGAGACATGGTTTAGTGGGAAATATTGCTGATATGTGGACTGTTTGACTGGATGACGTTAGAGGTCTTTTCCAACCTTGGTGATTCTACGATTCTATGTTTTTCTAGGTTTTTCTAGATCTTAGAGAGACCTAGAAGAGTCTGTTAGCTGTATATTCAGCTGAGCTGATCCTTCTGTGAGTTACTGAAGAAGAACTTTTGTGATCCTCTGAATCAATTTACCCTTTGTGAGATAGGTAACATGTTTTGGATTGGAACTGTATCCTCACAACCTAATATTATGAGCTAATGAATGCCCTGAGCTTCTGGTCTAAGGAGAGTTCTGTGGCCCGATGGGGCTCTTACTTTCTAATGCATCCTCCTGCAGGTTCTTTCCAGAAGCTTCTTCTCTTTCTTCTACAGAGGAAAGCATTTCCTTCTGAACTTCCCATCTTTTGCAAAATCTTAAACTGTACCACAAGCAAAAGAGGTTTTAGCGTCCTGTAATAACTATTGGTTTCTTTGTAATAAATGGAAAACTTTTCAACATACTTCTCTTTTTCTAAGTACAAACAGCTGAAGCTTGCATTACTTTCAGTGTTTTAAATTTTCCATTGCTTAATTTTCTTCAGGAAATCTGTATGATCATGTGGATATACAGGATAGCTCTGTGCATGTGATTCTTAGAGAAGTGAGCCCTTAGTAAGAAATATTTAGCTTGGAAAGCGTTAGAGCTGAAAAATTAAGTAAATCAATGTATTCCTCACTAAACAAAGAATAACACTTTGAAAACAACACTTGTTCTTTTTTATTTGCATATTTGAACATATCCCAGCAACACTGGTACAAGATGATGCCAGGATGTAGGGTTATTTCTTATGAAAACACTTCTCTAGGCTTCTGCCAGCAGTGTTTCTTTATGGTAAGCCAAACTTACCTTTGGAGTTAAGACCACTTTAGTCAACAGATGCATTTGGCCCATTAACTTTAGCCTGCGATAAAGTCAAGGGCAAAAGAATATTCTTATGCAAAGCAGAATCACTGGAGATACATGACTAATCACTTAGGATTAGAATGAGGACATCCCTGTCCTCGTAGCGCCTCTGTATGGCTTTTTAGCCCTGTTTAAATAGCAAACTAACAAGGATTATTTTATTTTGCTTATGAGAAGAAATCATAGTTTGGTCTATTAGTACAGAGTGGTGAAATGCAATTATGTTTCCTAAATCTTTTAGTACTTTTGTACATGTGATTGCTAAGCAATAGTAATCCTAATTACAATTTCATAAGTTGCCTATGGGCAAAATGGTAGGTTGTATGTGAACTTTCCAGTCTACCTGTTTAGGCTTGAACATTCATGTGAATTACTTTAAACCTGCATATTTCAAGGGAAAACAAGTTCAAAATATCTATGTAGGACTGAAATGCTATTCACCTCAACTATGTATATTCAACTATTAGTTGAATATGATATTGAATATGATATCTGTAGGCTCTTAAATTTTTAGTGGAATGTTATAATATACTTTTATAAGATATACTTTTTTCAATCCAAATGCTACTACTATTGTATCATTCCAGTATTCTGAATAGGCAAAACAAACAAACAAACAAACAAACAAACAATCAAAAAAAACCCTCAGTATTCTGAATAGGCAAAAACAAACAAACAAAAACAAACAAAAAAAAAACCATAATAAAGTATTTCGTTGACAGTGTTAAAGAGGTTTTTCATCAAATTGAAGGTTTCTTCCAAAAGGTCATTAGTGTAGTTTTATTTAGACTCATTATTTGATTTAAGAAGCAAACTCATTTTAGTGTTACATATATATGTATATATATATGTATGTATGTATCTATATAGATGGGAACAAGAAGCTTCATTCATAAAGAAACATAGCTCATCACTGTATTTAATTACAATGTTCTGAACTGAAATACATAGCCAGTGGGAATAGGACTATTGATTAAAAACTAGAGTAGCTTCTGTTTAGTCTGTTGGAGACTCTTCTTTTTTCTCAATTAATGTGTGAAGGAGAGGTCATTCTGATTGCATTATTAAATTAGGTTAGGAAACAGTATTTCTATCACTGAATTGCATGCTATCCATTTCTTAAGAAAATACACTATAGAATTCTT